AGGGAGGGAAGGGAAATTAGTTTTTCACTGTAGGCTAAAACTCAAAAGTTTTGTTGTTTCCTTTAAATTTCTAGAAATCATAAGAATTGTATGGCAGACAGTAAAGAGAGTCACGATTGAGATCTCGGGAGTGAAAGGGCTAAGGAGAAAGTGGATGTTAGTCATGTTTAGGGGTCAAAGCGTATGTTAACAGAAAATTCTTAGAGCAAAAATTATAAGAAATGTATGACAGACCGCGAGGAGAAGTCATGTTTAGATCTTTGAGTAAAATACTTATATGTACCTACTTATGCATACTTTTAGAAATGAATATATGAAGTTCATATGTTTTCATATTTTTTTCAGGTCTAATTTTTGCTATTGCATAAATAGCGCTATCTACTGCGAAGGATCGTGCATCGTACATACTTTTATTTCATAGATACTGACATTTACACACGACAAAAACCTCGTGTAAAACTAGTACGTTAAATCCATTAGCCAATAGGAAACGCGAACGATGAATTTTCACTAGTGAAAAAACTTCATTCGCCCAATCACAAACGCGAACGACGAAAATTTACTACTGCACAATCGTGGCCCGCGAGTTTCACTCCGACTCTTGAATCCAACATGGCTAGTTCAAGGTTTGCTTCTTTGGAAGGTTCCATCGAGACTTTTATTGAAGAACAAGAAAATCAGAATACAGTGAAAAAAAACCAAACGAGACGTTGCTGTGTTTACAGAGTTCCTTCAAACAAAAGGAGAAGCAGAAGTGAAATAGCTGAAATTCCTCCCGCCGAGCGGAATGAACTTTTGAGTGAATTCATTTTTAAGCGTTCGCACAAAAGAAGGAGAAGATTACGAAAAAGCATCACTGGAAGAGAATAAGAGTATCCAGCAACTCCGATGATGACTAAGTTATGTACACTGTAAGTTTGCCTTGAATTTTCATGAAAGTTGCAGACTGATATCGGAAGGTTTGCATTGTGTTATTCAGCGTAAAAGCGTATGACGCTGCGTGTTTTCATGATTTAGTGACATTCTGATTTACGACATTTATGACTTGTACATCTAAGTCAAGTTTTTTTCTCTAAAAGTTGTCATTTACGTCTACATATTTGGATTTGTTATCTTCATTAAACATCTCAAAAGACAAAGAGAACTTTATATTTTAGTTTATAATAGCAATTGAAGGGGTTTTCTAAACATGCGCGCCCAAACTGATAAATTTGACCAGCAATTTTTCTTTTAAAAAATCTCAATATCTATAAAATAAACAAATTACACCATGGAAAATGCTTTGTACGATTTTATTCACTCGTTGAGAAGTATCAGAAAACTCACTGGTTCATTTTCTGATACTCCTTAACTCTTGAATAAAAATCGAACGCGTGCATTTTCCATGGAGTAATCTCTATATATCTGGACCCGCTGTAATTGGCTTTGCTATTGCGGTGTCCCTGCCATTTTTTTTTTTTTTTTTTTTTTTTTTTATCTATTTATTTTGATTGTTGTTGCTTGGTGAAGTTAATAAATAAATACAGTCGAACCTCGATTATCCGGACCACTAGGGACTGGCCCGAATAGTTCGGTTAATCGAGAGTCCGGATAATCGAAAATATGAATATTAATGAGTCAACACTGAATACATTTTTCTAAACCGTAACATTTAATCAAGAATCATGCAAGATTGAACCACAATCACAAGCCATTTCTGACTACGATTTACTTCTGTGCGTTTTAGACGCGTTTAAGATCACTTCGGCAATAACCTTGCCCAAAATTGTCTTTTGATGCAAAACAAATTCAGTTCTGACTAGAATTTTACAACTCAGTTCGGCGTATGATAGCTTTCCTATCGGATAATAAATGTGACTAATTAATATTTATGAAAAAAGGGGACCAGAAAAGCTAGTCCGGATAATCAAGGTCCAGATAATCGAGGTTTGACTGTATAACAAAATTAAAATGAATAAATCTAACCTACCAAGACAGATAGACCACTGTAAATGCTGCTAACACACCCAAGCCTACATGATTCTTTGGATACTTGTGTTTGATGAGCGCAGCTTCCAATATGATAAGGACTGCACACCAGGTATGCTTAAAAAGAAAAAAGAAAAAACAAAGGATTCATTAGAAACTCAATGCATTCTTTTGAAGAAAAAGTATGCTACTGAAAGCAAGTGGTTTTTATCTTTACTGATAAAAAGCATTATAGAAAATTTTGATGATCACATTTTAAGATTCCAAAGATTCACCTCAGTCTGCTTTTGAACATAAAACAATTGTTAGTGGTATATATGTTTAAAATTTGGGTGTCGCAGATCAGAGAGATCTCATCATTTATTATGTTTGATAAAATTTGTACCTTATATATACTTTCAATACATTTCAGATACTGTAACTTTCTGTGTCCTTGAACTTTTTGCACAGTTTTACTTTGCATTTATTTGAATATAACTCTACACAGAATATTTTTCATATCCTGACAATGTGTTTGATCTGCAAAAGCTAT